CACTCTCTCATTTGCTCTCTTTTTACATTGCTTCACCACTCTCTTAACTTCTCTCTTTTTCTCCATATACTCTTCCCTCCTTGCATCACTTCTACTTTGTAAAAACTTCTCATATGCTAACTTTTTCTCCCTTACTACTCTCTTTACATCATCATTCCACCAATCGCTCCTCTTCCCTCCTGCACCCACTTTCCTGTAAGGGGGGGGGGGTGCAGGAGGGAAGAGGAGCGATTGGTGGAATGATGATGTAAAGAGAGTAGTAAGGGAGAAAAAGTTAGCATATGAGAAGTTTTTACAAAGTAGAAGTGATGCAAGGAGGGAAGAGTATATGGAGTATATCTCGCGAACGAGCGATAAAAGGTGCAAAATAACCACGCAGGGGGTAATGAATGATAGCTCTAGGCCTTTCGAGTTGCAATCAACACATCAGGAGCTTGCAATGATGAAGATATAGAGTTGGAAATCCCAGCAGATTCGTTCAGGGAAACAACTGGAGAGAATCGTTCCCCTGAACAATGCATCGTCAGGAGTTTGCTGTGTTGCGGGGAGAGAGTGGGAGATCCAGGAGTGTTCAATGTAAACACTTAGTCTACACGTCACCTACCCTTCCTAATACCTGCTTGTTCATCTACAGTCCTTCTTTCTGTTTTACGTTTATTCTTTCAATTATAATCACGTTTATTCTTTCAATTATAATCCTACGATACTCAGGCTTATTCCCTTATAATTTTCACACTCTTCTACCTTTTTCCTCTTATACAAAAGAAACTATTCAGGTTCTCTGTCAACACATAGGTACCTTCCCTACCATATACATTTTTGAACAAATGCACTAGCAACTCCAAAACTATATCTCATCTGCTTTTAACATTTCTATCTTGATCCCATCCCAACTGTTGATAAAAAAAAAAAAGGTTGTAAGTATAACCATAATTTTTAAAGGGGGTGGACCGATAAGCCAGCGGAAGGACTCGGTCAGATGACCAAAAGCTCCAACGGCGGGTCATCATATGACTAAGATCTGTGTCAGGAAACACCTGTTCTGTTTCCTGACGAACCTTACTTAACCTAACCTATTCCAACTGCTTTACTCTCTTTCACCCTACCCTCTGCCTGATGTACTTTTCCCGCACTCACATTTGACTCTTCCTTACTTCTACTAAATGTTATACTTCCTTGTGCAATACATGGAATCACCTTCCATTCTTTCAAAACTTTCAACAACTCATCAAAATATTCGCTCCATCTTCCCAGTACCTCCACCTCCCCATCTAAAAATTCCTCTTTTGTTTTTGACGGCTAAATCCATTCATTTGTTCTTAAGGCTTTCAATTTATTGATCTCGCTCCAGAACTTTTTATTCTCAGCAAAGGTTGTTGATAAAACCTCACCCACTCTCTCTAGCTTTCCTGTTGCATTCCCCTCACCATTCTTTAACCGCTCTCTGACTGTCCATATACTCCACCTTCCGTATTATCACTACTACATTGTAAAAAAACCTCTCATTTGCTAACTTTTTCTTCCTTACCACCGTCCTTACCTCATCATCCCAACCATCGTACCTTTTCCCTTCCGCACTCACCCTTCTATACTTATAAACTTATACTGAGCGCTAACACTGCATTCTTAAAAAGGTAAGGAGATTTTGTATGACAACTGAGGCCTTACTCCTCAGCTGTATGACAACTGAGGCCTCACTCCCCAGTTGTATGACAACTGAGGCCTTACTCCTCAGCTGTATGACAACTGAGGCCTTACTCCTCAGCTGTATGACAACTGAGGCCTTACTCCTCAGCTGTATGACAACTGAGGCCTTACTCCTCAGCTGTATGACAACTGAGGCCTTACTCCTCAGCTGTATGACAACTGAGGCCTTACTCCTCAGCTGTATGACAACTGAGGCCTTACTCCTCAGCTGTATGACAACTGAGGCCTTACTCCTCAGCTGTATGACAACTGAGGCCTTACTCCTCAGCTGTATGACAACTGAGGCTTTACTCCTCAGCTGTATGACAACTGAGGCCTTACTCCTCAGCTGTATGACAACTGAGACCTTACTCCTCAGTTGTATGACAACTGAGACCTTACTCCTCAGCTGTATGACAACTGAGACCTTACTCCTCAGCTGTATGACAACTGAGGCCTTACTCCTCAGTTGTATGACAACTGAGGTCTTACTCATCAGCTGTATGACAAAAAGCTCCACTGAGTAAGTCTTCATATGAGTAAAACCCGCGTCAGAACTAGAGAGAGAGAGAGAGAGAGAGAGAGAGAGAGAGAGAGAGAGAGAGAGAGAGAGAGAGAGAGAGAGAGAGAAAGGGAGAGAGAGAAACGGGAAAAACCTACATGGAATGAAAATAGAACAAAGATTCAGGATCCTCTGTGTTACTGTTAGGAGCCCTGAGGATCTGTAGCTCTGAACACTTGGGCAAAGAGAGCTCTCACATACTCAATACCAGCGGCTTGGATGCTTAACATATTTTATTTATATATATAACTCGATTTTATAGGGTAAGAGCTGCTATCCTATCTCAGCTCATTTCAAAGCCCAATCTCTGTCTGAGGTATACTACCACTCCCAGGATGCCACCCACACCAGTCGGCTAATACCCAGATACCTACTGCTTCTAGGTAAACAGGGACAGCAGGTGTAAAGAAACACGTCCAGTGTTTTCACCCGTACCTGGGATCGAACCAAGGACACTTAGTGTGCAAGCTTATTGCGCTACCTACTGAGCTACGGGACGACTTAGCCAACCACGTGCAGCTAAAGCTAACAAAACTTTGTAGCATCCCGCTCATGAGAACACAAATAATTTTTTCAGAATTCTGTACCGTGCAAAAATACAAGATTTTAGAAGACGGAGGAACTTACGTGCCTCTTAAGAACGTCCCGAGGAACCTCACTAAAGTAGTTACAATTTTGCCTCAACAAAATCGGCAACAATATTTCCAAGGAAGGTATGAAGCCTCTCTCTACCCACACTGTGAAGCCTCTCTCTACCCACACTGTGAAGCCTCTCTCTACCCACACTGTGAAGCCTCTCTCTACCCACACTGTATACACGAGTTTACAAAATCCTTTTAAAAGTATCAGCTCTTCGTACACAGGACAGACTCTGAGAAACCTAAATACAAGCATCACCGAATACGAAAAAAACATCAGATATTATCAGTCATTTTTCAGTATGTTAGGTAAACCATACACGGTAAGTACTGAGACGGTACAAATATCTGACACAATATATTATGTCCTCTCAAAAGGAAAATCCTGAAGCTACGCTCTTCTTAAAAATAATTTTCAACCTCTCACAAGGCCAATGGAAGCCCGATACCATTATTTCTTATGAAAGCTTCCTCCCGGCATCAGTTGAGTACACCAACATATAAGATACCTGGGGAAAGTCCACAGGCGTATAGTAACTGAAGTTACTTCCATGCCCCTCCACCTTAATGAGGCCACATGCTTTCTCGACATACTTGTACCCTCCATGATTCTTACTTACTCAAGATAAACTGTGAATCCATGATATTCAGATCTACTGTGTTGTATCGTAACGCACGCACTCACGCAATGTATTATATTATATATATATATATATATATATATATATATATATATATATATATATATATATATATATATATATATATATAAAATACATGTGTGTGTGTGTGTGTGTGTGTGTGTGTGTCGTGCCGAGCAGGTAAAACTTGCGATTTTGGATTAAATAGCAACACTCTTCTTGCCGAATAAGACAAGCGAAAATTTGTGTATGCAATAATTTCGCAAAAATCCTTCTGAACCTAACGAGAAATATATATTTAATTAATTGTGTTTGTTTATTATTAAATTATTTTAAACTTATCTAAAATATATTAAGTTGGATTAGGCTAAATTAAATTTCACTTATAATAAGGTTAGGTAAGTTTTCTAAAGTACTTTTGGTACAAAATTAATAATTTTTACATTAACATAAATGAAAAAAAATATATCTTTAAACGTATAAGAGAAAATTTTAAACGAGTTCTTGCCAATTGACCAGTTTTACCTATTCGACACTTAAAATAAAGATGTTATTAATAATGGTAATATTAATTATAATAACGGTTATGTTAATAATGATTATAGATGTTAATAATAATGATTGTAGATGTTAATAGTGATAGTGTTAATAACGATAATGGTGACGTTAATAATGATTATGCGTGACGTTAATAATAATGACAGTAATGATGTTGATAATGATAGTAATGTTAATGATAGTAGTAATAATGAAGATGGGATTCATGTTGAAGGTGAGTACTGTTCCTGCCTGACGGTGAGTTGATAATGACTGATAGTGAATATGTTGGAGATATGTGCTGAAGGCTGGCGATAGGAGCCTCAGTAGGTAGGTGGAGCGGGGAGGAAGATGGGTGGGGAAGAAAAAGATGGTGTAAAGGAAGAGAATGAGATGTGGGTAGAGGGATGGAGGAAGTGTAATTAGGGTAGGGAGATGGGAATAGGGAGATAGGGGCATGGGGACTGGGGTTGTGGAAAGGGGTATGGGGAGGGAAGTATTGGATGGATGGAAGGTGGGAGATGGGGTACGTGGGATAGCAGTGTAATTAACGGAAGAAGAAATGGAAGGTACGGATGGGAAAGTGAGAAATTACCGAAGATGAACGTGGAGGCTAGGAAGGGAGGGAGTAGTGTGGGAGGGAGGGAGGGAGGGAGGGAGGGAGGGAGGGAGGGAGGGAGGGAGGGAGGGAAGGGAGCAGCGTAGGAGGGAGGGAAGGAATGGAGCAGCGTGGGAGGGAGGGAAGAAAGGGAGCAGCGTGGGAGGGAGGGAAGAAAGGCAGCAGCGTGGGAGGGAAGAGAGCAGTGTGGGAGCGAGGGCAGTAAGGATGAAAGCAGTGTGGGAGGGAGGGATGGAGGGAAGAGTTCAGTGTGGGAGAGAGGGAGAGAAGAGAGCAGTGTGAGAGGGAAGCAGGTAGCAATAATGAACAGTACTCACGGGTGTCATTCTCCAGGTCCTTCAGTTTCGGTTGTATGATGATAGTCTTGTGCTGTTGGAACAAAAATAAAATCAAGTTAGGCATCAATAAGACCACAGAAATGTCAATGTTATACACACTAAGAGGTGTATATACTTGGTATCTCTTATTGTGTATACATACACCCGGAGTCGCGCTCTCCACCACAGGAAATACTCGATAACTTATCACTCCATGTTTTACCAAGGCTGGGGAATACATAGGGTTAATACAGGTGTGCATTCTCAAGTATATAACTTAGTTTGAAAATGTCGAGAGTCTATTACAACAATGAATCAATATAACACTGGTGAACACGACCTATAACTGGATGAGAAAGACACGTATGAGCAGTAACAGTTAGTTATCCTTCTGAAAAGTCTCGCCTACACATTCCGTTAAGAAAAAGAAAGATGTAAAACTAGAAAGAGAGAGACGCTCCCTATACAGACGAAGGCGAAGAATCACAGAGCTGTTGAGAGGGGCCAATATATCTGAATTACGAAGGGAGGCACTAGTCAATGAAATAGTAAATATCGAACTTAAGCTGAAGGAATTTTACAGGAGGCATGAATCGCAGGAAGAACTATAAGCCATAAAGGAAATTTAAAAAAAAAAAAAAAACTTCTTCTCTTATACCAAATCTAAGGGAAAAACAACATCCAGTACTGGGTCCCTGCTTAGGCGAGATGGGACATGCACAGATGACAGCCAAGAAATGAGTGACATACTAAAGTCCCAATACGACTCAGCGTTCATCGAGCCTTTACCCAGACAAATGGTCGACAATCCAAATGAATTCTTAATGAACTAGATCCAAAATCTCAAAAATATCTGATATTATCCTAACACCACAAGACTTTGAAAAGGCAATAAATGACATGCCCATGCACTCTGCCCCAGGCTCAGACTCACGGAACTCCATGTTCATCAAGAATTGCAAGGAGCCCCTGTCACGTGCCTTCAGCATTCTAAGGAGAGGGAGCATGGACACAGGGGTCATACCACACTCACTTAAAACAACAGACATAGCCCCACTCTACAAAGGTGCCAGTAAAGCAATTGCAAAGAACTACAGATCAACAGCACTAACATCCAATATCATAACAATCTTTGAAAGGGTTTTAAGAAGCAAGATCGCCAACCACCTAGATATCCATCAATTACACAACCCAGGGCAACACGGGTTTAAAGCAGGTCGCTCCTGCCTGTCCCAGCTACTGGACCACTATGACAAGGTCCTGGATGCTGTGGAGGATAAACAAAATGCAGATGTAGTATACACAGACTTTGCAAGAACATTCGACAGGTGTGGCCATGGTGTAATAGCGCACAAAATGCGTGATAAAGGAATAACAGGAAAAGTTGGTAGATGGATCTATAACTTCCTGACAAACAGAACCAAAGAGTAATAGTAAACAGAGTAAAGTCCGAGGCAGCTATGGTGAAAAACTCTGTTCCACAAGCCACAGTACTCGCTCCCATCCTATTCCTCTTCCTCAAATCTAACATAGACAGAGATATTAGCCATAGCTCCGTGTCTTCCTTTGCGGATGACACCCGAATTACCATGATAGTGATCTCCATCGAAGACACCGCAAGACTCCAAGCTGACATCAACCAAATCTTCAAATGGGTCACTTAAAACAATATGAAGAGAAACTTCATATACTCAAATGTGGAAAACTTGAGGAAATTAAAACTGTATCAGGGTATACAACAAATTCTAACCGTACAATAGAGCGAAAAAGTAATGTGAAGGACCTGGGAGTGATAATGTCAGAGGATCTCGCTTTCTAAACCCACAACAATGTATCTACCGCATCTGCTTGGAAAATGTTTGGATGGATAATGAGAACCTTCAAAACTAGAGATGTCAAGCCTATGATGATTCTCTTCAAATCACTTCAATGCTGCTGTACACAAACTGCCTCCTTCAAGGCAGGCGAAAATGCTGAAGTGGCACACATAAATACGACAAGGCACCTAAATTACTGGGACTTGACTTGTATTCCCTGGAATGCAGGCGAGAGAGATACATGAAAATATACACTTGGAGAATTACAGAGGGCTTGGTACCAAACTTGCACACGAAAATCACTCCCTATGAAAGCAAAAGGCTCGGCAAGAGATGCAACTGTCCCTCAATGAAAAGCAGGGGCGCCACGAGTACACTGAGAGACAACACAATAAGTGTCAGGGGCCCAAGACTGTTCAACTGCCTCCCAGTATACATAAGGGGGGATTACCAATAGACCCCTTGCCGGCTTCAAGAAGGTACTGGACAGGTACCTAAAATCAGTACTTGATCAGCCGGGCTGTGGTTCGTACGTCGTGTTGCGTGCGGCCAACAGTAACAGCTTGGTGGATCAGGTCCTGATCAACCACGAGGCCTGGTCACGGAGCGGGCCGCGGTGGCGTTGACCCCCTGCTGCTGGGGGCCCGCTGTCCCACATATCTATCACAGCCTGGTTGATCTGGCACCTGGTGAAAATACTTGTCCAGTTTCCTCTTGAAGGCTTCTACAACTGTCCCAGCCGTGTTTCTGATATCTTCTGGTAAAATGTTGAATAGTCTGGGACCCCGGATGTTGATACAGTGTTTCCTTATTGTCCCCACCGCACCCCTGCTCCTCACTGTGTGTATTTTGCACTTCCTCCCATATCTCTCACTCCAGTATGTTATGGCAGTGTGCAGATTTGGGACCAGGCCCTCGAGTATTTTCCAGGTATATATTATCATGTATATCTCCTCCGCTCCATTGAGTACATGTTCAAGACTAGATAGCGTTCCCAGTAATTTAGGTGCTTTACTGGTTCAATGTGAGCCGTAAACGATCTCTGTATTTGTTCCAGCTCTGATATTTCTCCTGCTTTAAACGGGGCCGTCAGCACTGAGCAATATTCCAAATGAGGGAGCACTAGCGATTTGAAGTGTCACCATCGGCATTATTTCCCTTGTTTTGAAAGTTCTCAATACCCACCCCGTCATCTTCCTGGTTGTCGTGATCTTTGTCTTTTTATGGTCTTTAAAAGAAAGGTCAGCTGACACAATTATTCCCAGGTCTTTTACGTGTTCCTTTCGTTCTATTTGGTGACCCTTATGAGTTCCTTTTGAGTTATTCATTCTTTCCATTCCTAAGTAGTTGGAACTCATCACCATTGAACGTCATGTTGTTCTCCACTGCCCACTGGAAAGCCCTGTTTATGTCTTCTTGTGTCATCTGGAACTGATGATACAAAAGTGTGACGGGTGTATTTGTCTATATCTGCTATGAGGATGAGAAACAGCAGAGGTGCCTGGACAGTGCCTTGGGGCACTGAGCATTTGACCTCGCTGATGCTGGATCTTGCCCTGTTCACTACTACTTTTTGTGTTGTGTGTGTTAGGAACCCGAAAATCCATTACCTTCCCCGTAATGGCCATGATCTTCATTTTATGCGCTATCACTCCATGATCGCATTTGTCAAACGCCTTTGCAAAATCTGTGTAAATCACATCTGTGTTTTGGTCGTCTTCCAACGCCTCCGTAATTCTATCATAATGGTTCATCAACTGTGACAGGCTGTCTTCATATTGGTCGCCTCGGTATTCGACTGAAGAAACCTACTGAATAGGCGAATGTCTCGGAGTAAAAGTATATGTCTGTTGTATTCTGTCTCTCTCAACCTCATCAATGAATTGCATTGTTTTATATGTATGTATTCTTTGATTTATAATGTAAATAAAATTACTTTCGACCTCCTCATCTTTTTTCCTCTCGTATACATAATATTTGTTGCTCCGCTCTAGGTATGTGATAGACCATCCTTTGAGATGGCATTTCCCAAGACGGTATTTCCAGTTCTATTAGAAAGAAACCTTTGAACAAATCTGCCGTATATGATGAAATCTTTAATGGAATACTTGGTGATATCGTTATTACTCAGTCTCCTAATTCAGGTTGACAAATTTTAACACCGTTTGAACCCCGTCCAATGTGATGAAATAAGACAACATTGTAGGCTTTTGCTTCCCCCATGTAACTATCATATAGGATAAGATATATATAAATATATATATATATATATATATATATATATATATATATATATATATATATATATATATATATATATATATATATATATATATAAATAATATATATATATATATATAAATATATATATATAAATAATATATATATATATATATATATATATATATATATATATATATATATATATATATATATATATATATATATATATTCTGGAGTTTCTGGAGAGAGTTCCGGGGGTCAACGCCCCCGCGGCCCGGTCTGTGACCAGGCCTCCTTAGGTCAGTGTCCCAGGATGCGACCCACACCAGTCGACTAACACCCAGGTACCCATTTTACTGATGGGGAACATAGACAACAGGTGGAAAGAAACACGTCCAATGTTTCTACTCTGGCTGGGAATCGAATCCAGGCCCTCACTGTGTGAAGCGAGAGCGTTAACCACCAGAGCCATATATAATTTATATATATATATATATATATATATATATATATATATATATATATATATAAATAATATATATAATATATATATATATATATATATATATATATATATATATATATATATATATATATATATATATATATATATATATATATATATATATATATATAGGTAGATAAAGCTATAAATCACTACTAAGCATGGGAATAGGCTGTGTTAATCTTCCTTCCACCACCCCATACCCCAACATAGCTGTCAGATATGGGAGTGAGTATGCCCCTTCCCACCCGGTCTCAGGTGCTGGAGAATGCCCCTTCCCACCCAGTGTTTGGTGTGGGAGATGAAGATACCCATGCCCACCCCACAAGTGCTAGGGAGTGGCACGGGTATAAACCCTACCCCATCCCAGCCTCCAGCAGGGGCACACACACACCTTGAGCCCTGTCAACTACCCACTCATAATACCCTGATAAATACATTTTAATTTGGAACAGTACTTAGAGAAAAGTCTCAAATAACTTTTAATGCACGTTAAACATTTATTTACTTAACAGCTAAAACAAGTTTTGGGAATTATCAAGACTTGCTACTTTATCATATAGTGAAATGTGACAACTCCTGATTAAACATCCCTCGTACACACACTTAATGTATTCATTTACAGTTTTCTTGTTAAATTGACGAAACTCACATCAAATTAATTTGAGAATTTTGAGAAAATCGTATGAGCGCGGTAAGGAGGAAGTCAGAGTATACAGTCAAAGGTCAACAAGAGAGAATTTAATATCCAACTTGGCCATGGCAAGACGCAGCAGAGATGCTAGGACCCGCCTGCTATGCATCGTTCAGTGGGCATTCGTACACTTGCTCATCCAAACCCCGCTGGGCTATGGCGTGTCATTGCAAGTCATATACCTTCCTTGTGAGGATAGGCGAGGCTAGAAGTAGAGACAGTGTCTGTGTGGTGGCATTAAGACGGAAACAGAATATGTGGTAGTGGCGACTTGAATCTACTCAGTCCTGAGTCACTCAGCGCAGAGGCTCACCGCCACAGTGCTCCACTCCACTACTTGCATCATACTCGCAAAGAAGGTGGTGTGTACGAGTGTATGTCCAGTGATCTCGCCAGACGACCTAGTGAAGACGCTGAAACAAGGAGCAAGTGAGGAATTTGATTTATATGTGCGGAGAGGGGAAGAAAAGTGACACCTCTAACATCGTCGTAATGGATGTCACAATAACAACTGTCCTGCTTCTCTTAGTATTGCGTGATGCTCTAGGTAAGATTTTCGATGTTATTCGTGAAATTTCAAGTATTTCTTTTTGTGCACACATTTCACTATCAAGGAACTACCCTTCGTTTCCTTAGACTAAATCCGTTCACCTATTCCGCGGGTACTGTATGACTTCTATGGAGTTAACGTTAATGAAAACTGGAAAATTAGAGCTTACACAATTTAATAGTAATGCGAACCTTAAATCTCGGCAGCTACACAGCCCAGGATTAATAAAAAAAATCTACTTGAGATAACTTCCAGTAATGAACCAGGTTGTGATGGTTACGTGGGCATGGAGCCAACACGAGCAAGAGCCTTGGTGAACAGGCAGACTACCGAGAAGCCTGGCCTCTGGCCTGACTGAAACAGTAGGTAAACTCCTGAAAACCGATCAAAGGTATACCACCAGCATTTCAGGTTTGAAGCAGATCAGATAGGCATACCAGAGTTATTGCAGAGAAACCTTTTCGTTTTGTCAAAGTAGCAAATTAAATCTTACACAACATGACATAAATAATCTTTCCTTAATTAAGGTAAAATCCACCATCGCTGAAAGTTCAAAGCCAATCAAAAGAGACTTTCTTCAGTTATTGTATACAATTCATCAACTCCAAGTTTATTAATTATGCTAATAAGTTTTCAAAATATCCATCTCCACAGTGCTAAACAACTTTTTTTTATAAGGTATATCATTTATGAACAAGTCACTCTTTAACGAGGCTTCCTCAGGCTATTTTTACTGAAACAATACTACATTTTAAAAACAAAATTAGCAAATTGTCATCTGTAGTCCCCAGTAACAATCTGAACCTTCGAAGTAGGATACACTAGTGCTGTAAGTCTGAACATCAGTAACCCACTTATTACTTGGAGAGGAAGTGTTGGACAGCTTTTCCGTAGATCCTGGACCATTATCAATGGTTCAAGACGGACCGAGGCGTTTTCTAAAATTTTGAAATAGTGGGTTGTTAATTATCCATGCCATGGTACATTGACTTTTATTCTTCCTCTCATGACATTTCCTGTTGCAGGGGACGACGAGGAATCTTTGTATTGCTATGAATGCGGCACAGGCGTGGCCGGGGAACCTGATTGTGAAGACTTCATCCAAGCCTCCTCATGGGCCTCCTTCTGGAGAAAGTGTCAGAAAGATCATATCTGCGTCAAATCTGTACCTAGCTGGGCGTCTGGTGATGGTGAGAGAACTCAACTCAGTGTTAACCTCAAACAACCGCAAATCCACTCGGGTTCAAAGTAATGTGAGTTAAGTAAGTAAGTAAGTTTATTCAGGTATACACAAATACAGTTACATAGAATTATCATACATAGCAGCATATGTGTAGAGAACCTAGGACAACACAAAAAAGTCAGACAGAGTGACTTATTTCCATTGGGGTCATTTTACTTTATTATTATAATATAAAGGTTATAATATTTTCTTATTATTCTATAATGAAGATAACATCTTATTATCATACTAAAAAGACTATCTGCTACACGAGGGTCATTAAGACTATCTACAATACGAGGGTCATTACCAGGAATAAGGTAAAATTTACACGTATGTTAGCTAAAAAATAGAAAATCATTCCCCTCCCTTTCTGTAGCTACATTCATCAGACACCTTTTGGCACTCTTCTTGAACTGGTTCATGCTATGACTGGCTTTGATATGTGCGGGCAGTCTGTTCCATTCCTTTATTGCTGTACAATAAAAGGTGTTTGAAGCCTGGCCAATGACTGTGGGTACTACACGTGCATCACTCTTGCCAATGCAAACTATTGTTACCATGAAATTGTTACCCTGTATTCTCCTTAAAAGTCATTTATGGGAAACAGCAGAGACCTAACAGTAACAGACAGTCTACACCTCATTAGGATCCTTGACATAGGAATAACAGACTCACTGGCTGCGACAATGTTGTAAGTATGCAATCTCCTCACTCCTTACACACTTTTTTTTCACATTCACTACAATGACATGCATGTATTTTGACTTATTTTTGTTTGGGTCCTCCTGTCCTCCTCCAGGATGTGACCCACAACAGTTGAACTCCTCCTCCTTGTTTTTACTTAGGTTGCTTGTAGATTAATGGTTCAGAAAACCGACAAGTATTCTAGATGTCAAGATTCATTAACTGATTACATCAGGCTGAGGGACTGATTACCTCAAACTCGTGACCTTTACCATTCTTCATTGTACTGGACTGATGAAGCCACGGTGTGGCGAAACGTTTCCACTCAAGATATCCAAGTATTGCACATGTGTCTAATTTATCAACTTGGGTTGCTTCAACAACGAGGTTATTAACACAGATGGACTGTCGTACAAAATACTCTTGAGCGTGTATATGTCTAACTCCCAAGTATCTATTTACTGTTTGGTAAACGAGCAACAAGAGTAGGGAGATTTGCCCTAATGTCTCACCATGCCTTGGGATCAAACCAGGGTTTTGTTGGATGTAAGCCGATTTCTGTATGGCTAAGACACTAGTCACGTAACCATAGATATGCTGAGTGTTATCCTCGCCTCCTTAGATAGAAACATTTCCTGTACCGTGAGTAATTATGTTGAATCACGGTTGTAACTTTTTTTCCTACCTGATGATGACTCAGTGGTTGGCATGCAAGACTAATACACTCCAGACACCCAGATCACACTCCAGAAATACTCTCATATTATTATTAGCTCAGCAAGTTCTGGCGCCAGCATTCTTGCGTAGTCTCATTGCTAGCACCAACACTGTTGTATGGCCACATTCTCAGCAACACTTGCATGGCCACTGCTCTCAGCAACACTGTTGCATGGCCACACTGTTCTCAGCAACACGTTGCATGGCCACACTACTCTCAGCAACACTGTTGTATGGCCACACTGCTCTCAGCAACACTTGCATGGCCACACTGCTCTCAGCAACACTGTTGTATGGCCACACTGCTCTCAGCAACACTGTTGCATGACACCATCAGTGTAGCATCATTGTTTCTGTTGCTCCAGACTTCTTTCAGAGTAGTGGTCATTGACCTCATCCATTCGTGTACTTCTTGTGAGTTTTTTTTTTTGTCAATGAGAAGTAACATGTAGAATGTGCGTGTGTGTACTCACCTATCTGTAGTTGCAGGAGTCGAGTCACAGCTCCTGGCCCCGCCTCTTTGCTGATCGCTACTGGGTCCAATCTCTCCATGTTCCATGAACCTTTGTTGTGCCTTCACTACATCACTCTCCAGATTGTTCCTCTTCCTGACAACTCTGTTACTAAAGAAATACTTCCCACCATCCCTGTAACTCATCCGAGTCTAACTTTCAGTTGTGACCCCTTGTTGCTGTGTCCCATCTCTGAAACATCCTTTCCGTATCCACCTTGTTAATTCCTCTCAGTATTTTACATGTCATTATTGTGTTTCCCCAATTCCCCCTGTCATCCAGTGTCGTCAAGTTGATTTCCCTTAACCTCTCCTCGTAGGACATACCCCTTTGCTCCGGGACTAGTCCTGTTTCAAACCTTTGCATTTTCTCTAATTTCTCATGTGCTTGAACAGGTGTAGGTTCCAAACTGATGCTGCATACTCCAGTATGGGTCTGACGTACACGGTGTACAAAGTTTTGAACGATTCCTTACTCAGGTATCGAGACGCCCATATACTGCAGCAGTAGTTTGCTTGATGTGCGCTTCAGGATATGTGCTCAGTATTATACTCTCCCCAAGATCTTTTTCCTTGAGTGAGTATTGCAGGATTGCAGTCTTTCGCCCCCTAGCTTGTACTCTGTCTGTAATCTTCTTTGGCCTTCCTCAGTCTTCATGACTGCACTTGGTAGGGTTAAACTCCAGGAGCCAATTGTTGGTCCAGGCTTGCATGCTGTCCAGATCCCTTTGTAGTCCTACCACTCGAGTTAGCTTCACATTGTCTGCAAACAGGGACACCTCTGCATCTATCCTTTCCGTCATGTCATTCATATATACCAGAAACAGTACCGGGCCTAGGACTGGCCCTTGTAGAACCCTGTCCACTCTGACACCTCATCACAAATCATCACTCGTTGTTTCCTTCCTATCAGGTATTCCTTGATCCATAGCAGAGCCTTTTCTGTTATTCCTTTAGCTTTTGCACTAATCTCTTCTGTGGAACTGTGTCGAAAACCTTCTTACAGTCCAAGAAAATGCAGTCTACCCCCCCCCCATATCTCCTGCTTTACTTCTGTCACCTTGTTGTAGACCTCCAGTGGGCAGGTTAGTAGGTATGTGTGTACTCAGTTGTACTCACCTAGTTGTGGTTGCAGGGGTCGAGTCACAGCTCCTGGTCCCGCCTCTCCACTGGTCACTACTAGGTCACTCTTCCTGCACCATGAGCTTTATCATAACTCTTCATAAAGCTATGTATGGATCCTGCCTCCACTACATCACTTCCCAGACTATTCCACTTCCTGACAACTCTGTGACTGAAGAAATACTTCCTAACATCACTGTGATTCATCGGAGTCCTCAACTTCCAATTGTGACCACTTGTTGCTGTGTCCCATCTCTGGAACATCCTGTCTCTGTCCACCTTGTCGATTCCTCTCAGTATTTTGTATGTCGTTATCATATCTCCCCTATCTCTCCTGCCTTCCAGTGTCGTCAGGTCGATTTCCCTTAACCTGTCGTCGTAGGACATGCCCCTTAGCTCCGGGACTAGTCTTGTTGCAAACCTTTGCAATTTCTCTAATTTCCTTGCGTGCTTGACTAGGTGTGGGTTCCAGACTGGTGCTGCATACTCCAATATAGGCTTGCCGTACAGGTGTACGGGGTCCTGAACGATTCCTTATTGAGATGTCGGAATGCTGTTCTTAGGTTCGCTAGGCGCCCGTATGCTGCAGCAGTTATTTGGTTGATGTGCACATTAGAAGTGTCCGATGTTATACTCATCCCATGATCCCTTTCCTTGAGTGAGGTTTGTAGCGTGTGTGTGTGTGTGTTGGTCGCTACTAGATCCACTCACGACTCCAAGAGCCTTATTATACTTCTTAAAACTATGTATGGATTCTATCTCTACTGCTTCACTTTCCACATTATTCCACTTTTTGAAACCTCTTGTGTCTGAAGAAATACTTTTTAACGTCCCTGTGATTTATCTGAGTTTTCAGCTTCCAATCGTGTCGTCTTGTTGTTGTGTCCCATATTTGAAACATTCTGGCCCTGTTCACACTGTCAACTATTCTCAGTATTTTATACGTCGTAGTCATGTCGCTTCTATACCTAGTGTCCTCCAGTGTCATCAGACTGGCCAGCCTGTGGTGCATGCGTCAGAGGTGGCGCATTGCACCCCAGTGATAATAATAATAATAAAACAAATCTACTCATACAAAAAAAAAAAATAGATATGTAGAAAAAAATATATAACAAATTCAAGTAAATTTTAGCCAAAAATGAGTTTTACCGAAAGTAAATCTAAAACTTAGCAACTATTGTTAGTGATTTTATTCCTTCGGTAATGTGATGAAGATAATGGTAATTTTTATAAAAATATTGAAAAAAAAATCAGATTATTGCAAGTCATTCGAAAGTCGTTTTAGTGATTTTGTCAAAAAAAAAAAAATCTTGATGATGCCTAGTAACATACAAATAAAACTTACTGATTTGAAAACAAATTCATTATTGAAAATGAAATATGATGAGCTTCCCTCAGTCCCTGATGCTTCTGACATGATTAATTTTCGGAGATTACCATGTAAATATTATAAGTTTTGCGAAATCAAATTAAACTCTAAGTTTCATTAAATTAATGTTTATATTGTCTTTATATTAAATTATTTTATGTAGAAATACTAAATATGTCCATATTAACATATTAACCTCTGCCTTAACTCCTCCGGAACTTGTCTTGTTGCAAACTTCTGCCTTTCTCAGATTTCTTGACGTGTTTCACCTGGTGTGAGTAGTTACTAGATATCAGAGGCACTTTTCGATAGATATTTGGCCTGTTTTGCGCGCGTGCGTGTGTGTGTATGTGTGTGTGTGAGTGTACTCACCTATTTGCGGTTGCAGGAGTCGAGTCATAGCTCCTGGCCCCGCCTCTTCACTGATTGCTACTAGGTCCTCTCTCTCCCTGCTCCATGAGCTTAATCAAACCTCGTCTTAAAACTATGTATGGTTCCCGCCTCCACTACGTCACTTTCTAGGCTATTCCACTGCCTAACTACTCTGTGACTGAAGAAATAC